GGCGGCCAGTACGAGTTCAAAGCGCGATGCGAGTAAAGCTCTTTGCGCGCCAAAGTCTGCTCCTCTGTGCGGACAAAGTCAGTGAATACCTCTCATAGCGAGATGCCCGGAACGTACCTTTAGAGCGCATGATGAGGTCAAGACGTCTGTCTCGGTGACGTGTGGACGATGCACATTCAGATTTCGATGAGCAAGGTAGACATAGAGACCACATGCCGCCGTCGAAGTAGTGAGACTCGGCAGGCTCACTGCAAGCAGACGGGGAAGAAACCAGTCGAAGACCAGCAAGGGGTAGATGAAAATTGCGAGGAAGGGCGTGCTCGGGCAACGCACAAAGAGTAGAGGTCCCCATGCACAGCTTCACAGCTGCTCTGAGAATCGACACCCTCGGTACGGTACCGGCATCTTCGAAGGAGACATGGTCGTCGTTGCTCAAACGCAACACAGCGCAGTCGAGAAGACCCGGATCGGGAACCCACGTGGTCGCATCATGACATGGGTGTCAGCAATCACCCTGCTTTCGGCCTCGATGTTGATGATCTCGCGTGAGCGCTCAGGGCGCGACTCACCTTGTATTCTCGAGCTTCCAGTCTCATCGCTCTCTTGCCGGATGACTTCGATACCAGCAGGCATCTGCGGCTATTGAATTACTGCCCGGGAAAAGCTACCATATCTGGTGACCCTGAGTGCTAAACGCAAAGGACAACCGACATCGAAGCGAAACGAAATGAGTTACACGGTCAAGACGAGCCTGTCATGTATTCTTGCACCTGTCTACGGACGGAACTCCTGCGAATGGTATGCATCACGGACAAGCAATGACTCTTTATGCGAGACTGACGTATTGTTAGCCATGATATACGGAACCGCGCCACAAATGAGAACGTACAGCATCCTGTTAATGCGTGCTCCAAAAGTGTCTGTAGGCATGAGTCGTACTGGTCTACGCTCACGTCTGCGAGGACAATGGCTTGCGAGGTGGCTGGTACACGAATGTCGCCGAGCCGACCGAGCTGCCAAAGGGGTTCGCCGTTGCTAGACCCCGCAAGTACCTTGACACGATCAGCAATCTTCCACCCTACATATTCCCATTGGGCGTCGTAGTTTCGAAACGCTATCACTCCTTCCACTGAGTGCGGTGCGAGGTAGATCATTGCAGGAGGTTGCTGTGACTGGTGTAGGTGCGGGCGTTATGTGACCCGCTGTATGCAGAAGAAAAGTCGAAACACTTGCCTGCATAAAGAGCCACACGATCAAGTCGTCGCGTTTCCGCGGCGTGGGTAGAAGCTCTATGCTCGGACTACGACGGCGTACAACGACCGTGGCGTTCGAAGAGGCGGGTTCGGTATCCGAGTCGAATATCTCTATGGGTGATGCACTGGAGTGGTCCCCTCTCACAGCCAATCGTGTGACTGTACTCGGGCTGTGCAATATGAGACTACCTTGACCGCGCGCGAGAGGACGAATCCGGTTTCGTGACTTGGATGAACGGGCCAGAAGGCCAGAGAAGGTATCCGATGCATAAGTACGAGTCGGGTACGGCTTCATTGGTGAAAGTAGAACTCGCGATGTTCGTACGCTTGACGACGATGCTGCACCCTGAGACGACCAGGTCAGCGCTCGACACTCATGCTTGTGCTCAATACACTCACACATGTGGACACAGCTTCTGCGGGCAAGAGCTGTTCAGCTTGTAGCTGACGCGCTAATCTGTGGTCGCGCAGGCTTTGTAGAGAGTGCGGGTCCAGGTGACGTGAAACGTATATGAACAGCCTTCCTGCGCCGTGAACTTCCCCAGGATGAGGAAGGCAGCACTGTTCATTTGAATATTAGCAGTACTCGTTATAGAGACGTATCTGTTCTCACTTCGATGAACCAGCGACCGTCGTCTGGGGTATCCGTGAAGCATTGTATATCCTTCCGGAGGATATGGCCGAGCTGTCGACAGCGCCGGCGATGATACGCGACTAGAAACTCGTCTATTGGCCCTGCGACGGACTTGAGCTCTCGTCGGTGGTCTTCTTCGATAGACTTTATCACGTTCGAGCGCAGAGCGACTTTAGACGGAGACATGGATGAAAGCACCGTATGGAGCCAGGGAACGTGTCACCCTTATCAAGGACCGCGCAAATACTAGTCAATCGATGTCTAGCCAAGCTGTCGTACCCGGTTGTAGCGCTAGTTGCTATGCGATGAGAGCCCCCATCATAGACCGCAGTTGCTGTACAATGCCTGAGAACACGACGTAGGATCTTGTACACCTCGAGCGCTTGTACGCTCACATTTGCAAATTCCGTAGTTGTAGTTAGGCATGTTTTCTGATCATGTTTGGATAGTATCTGATGATAAACGAGCCGTAGTTGGTTTCAGAACACCTCCCACCGAACTGAAGTGGCCCAGAGGTCCGACTCGGAGTCGGAACACCAGAGTGCTACGGAGTCGCTCAACGAGACGACACAGGTAAACTCAAAGCAAACAGCGGGACAATAAGCATAAGAATATGCTCTCTCAACGAGAGTCCTCGGTGCACCTGAATTAGGCAAGTAGACCCCCCCTAGGCAGCATTGACATCGATCGTTGTAAGTTCAGTTGAACCTGACAAGAGTTCTAGTGGAGCATCTAGAGCTGGGTGCTCGCTCTGATGGAATATACTCAGCGCGGAGCTCATTTCCGGAGTTCGAAAAGCGGACACATGATCTCAGCGCTTCAGCCCGGATTACCGCTTCTCTCCATCTAGAGTCCATATTGCGTAGGGATTACGAACGTCTCCTCTTTCTTTGCAGCATGCGCGCGCTGATAGTCTGCATACCTGAAGGCTGCATGCGCAATCTATCTGCAGCACGAGGAGGCATAACACAGATGCACCCATCGCGAGAGACAGTGAAAGTACGAGAACAGTGATTCAGCGCTACAATCCCATCGAATCCTGTAAGATCCGGGAATTAGACCTCTTCGATACACTGTGCGAAAGCTGTCTGCATCGCGGAACGAAGTGGACTGAAACGCGAGGTCGCCATAGAGGACTCGGAGCATCTGTTCCTGCATTTGACAAGATCTTCTACATACGCGAGCTCCAGGAGTCTGGCAAACTTACTGTCAGCGTGGGTGTAAACTTTCGCTTTGTCTGCCCAGGCATCGTAGCTCAGGATCCGGAGGTGGCAGCCCTGAATAGACCGGACTTATGCGCACATTCAGGTTTGGCGAATCAATCATACAGGGGTTCAACTTTCAACGTTCCACGCTTACAGCTAACAAAGAAACGATAGGCCACACCTCACAAGGTGTGCGAGTGAACCTGCAGCTGGGCGCGCCTTATTTGGACTCAACATGAGGTCATAGAACGGCCGCGACGCGGCGACGGCCCTCCATCTCCTCTGCCCGACTCTTCATCCTCCTCTGCCTTGTCCCTGCCCTTCCTCCCCATACCGCCAAACTTGGCGAACTCCGCCTTCTGCTCTTGAGAAGCATCCTCATGCTTTTCAGCAAGACCGGCATGCGCGCCTATATCCGCATGCACGAGCGCTAGACGGATGTTGTTCACTAGCGCTTGAGGATCAGCGCCAGAGAAGCGCTCCTGCGAGACAAGTTAAGTCGACAGAGGGGTGGACGGGGACTTTAAGTGCGTGTGCTCCGATGATCTGGGATGGTGCGCACGGTGCGTGAGGAAGAGGGAGTTGGTTAGA